CTGCAGGAGCTTGCTTCCCGCAAGGTGAAGAAAATACAGCTCTGAGCCAGATAGCTGTTCATTTTGCCACGTAAAAATTCAGATTGCTTTGTAGTTGGTGGTGCGACTCAAAACGTTGATTTTGAGATGGTCTCTTACCTCACTTAGCCGTTTCTCTTGGTCAGAATACTTCTGCCTGTGCCCTTTGTTGCAAATCTGAAGTGCTTTTGTCACAAGTCTGCCCTCAGATTGCCTGTCTGTCATCCCCCATCCAAGTTTAAATAGAGGTCCCAAATGGAAAGCTTAGGTACTAAACGTGGTGGTGAACAAGCAGTATGCGAGATGCAGTTCTGCACCTGTAGTTATGTTAGAAACCTCCTCTGTTTCTTGAGACTGTTTGTATAAAGATTGCAAACTTCAATTCTTATTTTTTGGTGAAAAACATCAGTTCGATCTAAGTCGTTAAGGCATTCCATTAAAAGCTGACACACACGGAGTAGCGGTCCGTATTATGTGCTCAGAAAGGAAGGATGTCCAGGCTGACTGTGTGTTTGCTTTGCCTGCAGCACTGCATATATCCTTGGTGTTTTCTCAAGAGTATGGGTTGCTTGTGTTTATCCACAAATCTCTCGGCATTGAGGAGGTAAGTTGATAAACTTTAATTTTTAAAGAAGCATTGACGTAGTTCTGGATGATGAGCATGTTAAGTTGTAAATATTACAATTTTTTTTTTTTTTTTTTTTACTTTTCAGTTTCGAGATTGCAGAGAGGAGGCGTTGAAGTTTCTTTGTGCCTTTTTGGAAAAGATTGGGGAGAAAGTGCATCCTTATGCCTGTAATGTTAAGGTGGGTAACGGAAAATTATCACCTAAATATTTTCATCAAATGCAATTCTGCTAGGTCTCAAAGTGTAACGGGTTCATACCTATCCTTCACCCTTTCTTTGTCTGTCACATCCCCCTGTAATTTCCTGTGAGTGCTGAAGCGAACAACTTGACTGATATAAGGTATAATGCATACAGCAGAGAAGCGAGGTATTGTTTCTTGAACTGTATAGTTAATTTTCGGTATTTCTCTTTAACAGGAGATAATTGTTACTGGTTGTTTTAATTCATACAGATTAAATTTATAATTTAAATGTAATATTTTATCTCCTTCTGCTTCTGTTGGTGATGGTTAATTTTAAATATTGATTTTAAAATTTTCTCCTGCAGGGTTGTTGCTCTTGCATTCTATACAGAAATCAGTGGAAATTACAATACTTCTAAAAATGAGATTTCTTGAGTCTAGATTGCTGAACAATATGATTTTGCCTAGAAGTGCTTAGCAGTACCACTGTACTTTCTGTTACCAGGCTAATAGCTACTTGTTGTAAGGAGCAATAATCTAGAGGCGGGAAAATTTACTATGTAGATCCTTTCTTCTAGAAACTACACTTCATTTGTCTGAGCCTGGATTTCTTGTCGGACGCTACTGCAATGTTGTCTATGATACCACTTTCAGGACTGAATGTTTTTATTGTTTTAGCCTTTTTAAATGTCTTAAACTTGTTAGGAAGAGGTACTTTAACGAAGAGAGTAAATACATTGTTACCTTTCAAATTCCTTCTATATTTGCAGTTACGATGGTCTCTTTCTTCTTTTCTTTCTAGCAAACTTGTATTAGTGTTTATACAAAAGAGAGGGCAGCAAAATGTAAAATCCCAGCTCTGGAACTTCTGATTAAGGTAAAATGCATTTTATAATCCTCTCGTTTGGAGGGGAAAAAAAAAAAAAGGTAGAACTCTGTTATATTACTGTGATTGTCCTATGTCGTGCGAAAAATCCATAGTCCACAGTAACAAGAGGCTATTAATTGCCTAATATTTTAAATGTTAGAATAAAAGATTTATCTTAACAAGAGATTGTCTTTGATGTTCCTCCAGCAGGTTACTTAGCGATGACTGTGTCATCCCTAAACCTGGTATAGCAAGACACAATTTGATTGTTTTGGGGGCAGTCACCGATCTTCTCTTTCTCAGTTTATTGTGGTTCTTTAATAGGAAATTTTCCACTTAATTGTGTTTTCACTCAAAAATATTATGTAATTACTTATAACTTATTAGAGACAGTAAGTGAAAGCTGTGGAGAAGGGTTTTTTTTCTTTTTTAGAAGTTTTATTACTGTGTGAGATGGTAATTTCATACATATATATACTTCCTTAGGATGCGTTAGACCCTGGTTTTGCAAGTGCTTTGCACCTGCTTGTTTTTGTTTATGAGAAACAAAACTCCCTTCTGAGTTACTGAGTCAGTTCTTCTGTGATTTGGATTGGCTTTACAGCAGCGGGGAGAGCTGAGAAATACAATATGAGAAAGGCTACTGCAGCCATTACTAAGCCTGTTTTCTCATACGTGTGAGTTTTTGTATATATAAATACATATGTAGGAAGGTAGCTTGTTATTAGTATAGATTTCACATCAATACTCTTTCTTGGTCCAGTCATCTTAAACCTGTTTCACTGAATAGCATACATAAGCTGAAGTTATGTGCGTGAACTGCATTTTTATTTAGGCTGAACAGGATTGTGGTGGTGGTATTAATAAGTTTTCCATATTGTCATTGTTTTTTATTTATTTTAGTTGCTCCAAAATTTACGACGTTCCTGTCTGATGGAAGAAATGAAAGTTGGAGAGATCTTTAATAAATTCTATGGGGAACTTGCTACAAGAAGTAAAGTTCCAGATACAGGTACATTTTAGTTTTTCTGTCAGTGTCCTTTGTTTTATTTACTCTTATTTTTTGTTGTATTATCTCTCACAGAAATGTATAATTGTCATTGCTGTAACAAGTGTGTTCAGAAATGGTAGAGGTCGTATTTTTAGAATTAGTAAGATTTGTTGAGGTCCTCTGATAATGATCATGTAGTTAGTTTTTTTCATAGCAGACCTGTAAATATTTATGTGGGAGAAAATACATAGTTGAATTTAGTGGTGGTTGGTCCATACAGGATTTTAGCATTGGTCTGATTTCAGATTCTTGACATGAAAGTGTATTTTTATCTCTAATCTATTATTATTAGTCCCTGAATGCTGAAATCCTGACAGTAATTCCAGCCCTGTTGGTATTGACTAACCTAACTTTGTTACACTCTTAGGCTTCTGAATTCTGTGCTAATGTGGTATAGCTGAACTTTCAGGGTTGCTTCTATACTCATTTTATAACTACACAGCCATATGCTCTTATGACTCGAAGCGTTAAAAGAAGTCCTTTTCCCCAGGGTGGTTGCCCTTATAAAAAGCAGAGTAAATTCTAGGCTGGTAATTTCTGTCAAAGCTCAGATAATCCCTAGCTCAGATGCTAAAATATTTAATAATCTTATGCCAACTCTAGTAAGTCTTTTCTTCAGAGCTGCTGCTTTGGTGTGGTAGTTCCTGCACTGGTCAACCCTGATCCGAGATCATCAGTTCCTGGCTGTTCTAGTTATATTATTTATAATATTACGCATATTCATGTGAGCTGCATTGTGATGGTCTTGGCTAGTTCTAGTTAAATCATGGCTTGACAGATCTAGCCCGTACAAAACTTGCTGTGCCCACCTAGAACCCTGTTTATCTGAACAGAAGGCTAGCAACTTCTAGCTGTTCACCTTAGCTTTCATGGTACTTACAAGACCCAGCATAACCACTAGGCCGGCAGCATACTTGGGTTAGTGGTAAATGTTTCTTTGGTGGTATGGCCTTTATTAATATCTTTTCTAAACCACATTTAAAAAGAGTAAATATATTTAATTTATTGATGCGAGATGAAGAAGCATCTCGTCTCATACTGTGCAGTTATATGTACATCATAAAGAGCTGTCTTTCTCACATGATAATCACCAATTAAAATCCTCAGTGATGGTTTTCTCAGGGTTGCAAGTTGTTTAGGAATTGCAATGGAAATGCCAAAGTAATGATTTTAATAATTTAATATTATTAAATATTAATTATGTTCAAGTTCTGGAGAAGATATATGAGCTTTTGGGTGTTTTGGGAGAAGTCCAACCTAGTGACATGATTAACAACTCTGAAAAGCTATTCCGAGCTTATTTGGGAGAACTTAAAACACAGGTACGACTGGAGTCTCTTTTCTGACTCTTAATATTGCTTTGTTTTTTTTCCTTGCTGTGTGTAGTGCTGTTTGTTAGAAGACTATTGCAACTAGTGCGATTTGTAGAGGTTTAAATGGACGATCATAAATGCTTTCTCAATGACTGTTAAGGTTTATGTTTTCTGATTCTAATAGAGAAGTTGTCAAAGTAAAAATTTTAGGCCTTCAGTGACAGCCCAGTAGCCGATTTACTGTGTGAAAAGATAACACGAGATGATTGCAGCAGCCCAAGCAAAATTATATTGCTTTTCACTGGTAATTCCTGATTTTGGCTCTGCTAGCTGCAAAATCCTTTTTCCCTTCAAGGAACTAACACAGCTCTGCCTAATTTTACTTTCCTGTATTCAATGTTTTTGAGAGATTAGTGCGCGCTATCTAAATTTTGCTGTGATTAGTTGTGGGGGAGCATATTCTGTGCTGGCCAAAGGAATTCTCATACTTCTGTAGTTAAAAACTTTCCCAAATGATATTACGTCTCTGAGCAGTGCATGTTTCTGTAAACTTAAGTCCATAGAAGTGGGTGGTACTGGGGGCACTGGCCTAACTGTATTTATTTGGAATATGATTCTTATCTACATTTGTAGGAACTGGGAAGCCTTAGTGTAAATCTATGTTAGCTTGAGGTTAATATTTTTTTTCCAATTCCTGCTTTTGTAGATGACATCAACTACAAGGGTACCAAAACTACCTATTGTAGCCGGCTGTCTGAGGGGACTGGCTGCACTCATGTACAACTTTACCAAATCTGAGGATGAAGGTGTGTTATTTTTCCGTGTGAGATGCAGTTACACAGTTTGGTATGTTTTAATGGTTATACAGCCCACAAGCAGCACAATTTCTAGTTGTGTACTCTGGATGAGAATTTCCCCACTGGTAGAAGATTTATTTTGGAAGGCCTATCCAGCTGCATGAACCCCTGTAATCTGCCTTTGTTGGGGATGGCTTGATCAGTGGATTTCTGTATGTAAAGGTTTGAAGTACTATTTTCTAACCAGAGAGTGGGTAACTGTGAGAGCCACGTTGAAACTGGAATGCGTTTATACAAAGATATGCTTTCCGTAGCAAAGACACATCTGTTAAAACATGGCTATTCAGAAAAGTCAATGAATATAGATGTAGATTGTTTCTAATTTAAAAGCATTTCTGAAAAAAATGTCTCTGCCTTTTTAAATGGAATGTTTAAGACTTCCAGATGTTGTTTATTCATAGCAGGCTTTGGATAAATGTATCTTTTTCTTCACTCTAGCTCTTGTGTCTCAGTAATGAAATACTCTTTGTTGGATTGTTCCACAGATCCTCAGACTTCAAAGGAGATTTTCGATTTTGCAATGAAAGCAATCAGGCCACAGGTAGATCTTCCACATGTTAATTGATCTGCATAAATTAATTAGCCTTACTGAAGAATGAATCACAAATGACAAACGTTTTTGATATTACAGATTGATCAGAAGCGATACGCAGTACAACTAGGTAAGATTGTCGGTTATTTCAGTTCATGCTGCGGTGAAGCGGCGGCGTCTTTTGGCTGGAGATGTTCTCTACCGGCGCTTTTGAGATGGACCTAGTATTCAGTCGTCTAAGCTGATAGGGGAGCAAAGCTGGTTGCTTTAAGTTGGAATCTAAAGAGCTAAACAAGTATTTGTTAAATAACGTCTAATTGGCTTATGAGCAGAAGTATTGCATTTGAGGCCGTTTGCCCCTCTCTGGGGTGAGTACAAAGCCCTGGTATGAGAAAGGTATCGTGAGAGGAATAGAAAGAAAAAATTAGGAGAAAACAGAAGACAGTGGCTTGGGTTAAAGAAAAATAGAGAAAGGGAATTTAATTGATAAAAGGAGAGGGAACAAAACAAGTCCATCGTGAGAAATAGAAACTAGCCTGTGAAATGCAAGAACTTTTTAGTTTGGGCACTAGGCCCGTAGCAACTGTGAAGTGTAAAACCCTCTTTAAAGATAGTCTGACTAAATACAAATTCTAATTTCTGAAGGATCTTGAAATTTCATCTGTGCTTAAATCTGAGACTGTGTTATTACCTGTATTCCCAACTCTTTGCCTGTCTGCATTGCAGTTTGGAGGAGACGGGACTTGGACATGTGTCCTGACCACAGAAAAACAAATTCTTGTAAATAGTACAATCAAGTATTCTGATTCGTAACCATTGGGTTCCCTCTCTTTTTTTCACTGATAACATGAATAACTTCATAAAGCAGTCGTACTTTCCATAATTGCATACGTGAAGAAAGTGGTTCTTGGAGGGTTGCTTTTATGCCTAAGTTTTTAATGTTTGGATAGTGATACTATAATGGTTAGTAAAATTTTATATACGTTTTGTAACTTCTAGTCAGCCTAATATTGACTTTATAGCCTGGTCAGTTGAAAGTGGAACATAGAAATCTGAGTTTTAATGAGAAATGTTTTTGAATTGCAGCTGGTTTACAGTTGTTCGGCAGGCATGCTGCTCAGTTTGGTACCTTTCTCCTGGACAGCTATGTCTCACTGTTTGAAACAATGTGCAAATGGTGCGGCCATACAAATCAAGAGCTGAAGAAAGCAGGTCATTCTGCCTTAGATTCATTTCTTAAGCAGGTATTGTGACTCTACTGGGACCTCTGAGATTAATGCAAAGTTAAATTTCTCAAAATAGTGGAGATATTTAGTGCTTGGAATTTCAGTGAATCTGTTTAATAATTTTTCTGTTTCAAAGACCTCATGTTATGAGCTAGGTATTGTTTAAGACTAATGTGGGGTGAGGGAGCTGTTTCCTGGTTTCTGGAAATCCTGAAATGTTTGTATCTGCTCTACAGATTTCTTTAATGGTAGCTAAGGATGCAGAGCTACACAAGAGCAAATTGCAGTTCTTCATGGACCAGTTCTATGGAATCATCAGAAGAATGGATTCAAGCAACAGAGAGTTGTCCATTGCCATTCACGGATATGGGCTTTTTGCAGCAGTACGTGCAGGAAACTTATTCTGATAAAGCAGCACTTTTTTTTTTTTTTTTTTGGTAGCATTCATGCTATAAAGCATGAATGGATTTAGAGTTAGGATTCATGCCGTTCATTTTACAAATTAACACAGCTTGTTATGTAGGTAGTGCTTCTGTTTCTGGATTAAGTATTGAAATGAATCATCTGCATTGTAAAATTTGTTGTGGTTCAAAGTTACTGAAATGTCTCCCAAATTTACTGGGAGCACTTGCAGAGTTGAGTGCTGAGGTTATTTCTGTTTGTACTCTAGCTCTGAAGCGCAAAAACCGGGGGCTCCATATATCACTGTCACGAAATTTCAGGATGTTCTTGAAGGTATAGACGATATCTCACTAGCTCTCTGCATTCCGGATGCCAATACGATGGCAATGCAGATGGCAATCCAGGCCAGTTCTGTTCAGGAAGCAGTTCAGATGTGTTTTCTACAGAGCAGGATTCCGAATCAGAACAGCCAAAACGGGCTGCTAGCTATAGGACATAAGGAGGTAATCTGCCAAATGACTGCAAATTAAAAAACAAAACTGTTCTTGCATTCTTATGTGGAGGGCAGAGATGCTTGTCAGGAAGCATAGTTAAGTACCAGCTTCCAGTTTTGGTCGGCAATCAATTAAAATGGGTCTATAAAAGTCAACTGTAAAGAAAGCAATAGTGTTTACATACCTGCAGCCTATGTGCTTTATGATGCTCCCTCAACTTTTATATAATGACATGCTAGACATTTTTTTCTTCTTCAAAAATTAGGTTCTTATTTATTTAGAGAGGATGAGGAAACATTGTGATAGAATAGCTGATTATTAGCTGAATCGTTTCCATTTTGCTGCCATTTGAGCAAAGTTCATTTCTTCTGTAGAATTTTCAACATGTATTGTTGAAACCTACTCTTCCTCTTCCGTGATATGGGCTGGAAAGGAATAGAGTTAAAGATATTGGTTCCAGAAAAAAAATGAACTATTTGAAATTGCTGAATTGAAAAAAAACTTTCCTAAAAATATCACTTATAGAATACATTAAATTAATAAAAATTATGTAGTATAAATGTAGAGATAATATAATTCTGCAAACTTGTACAAGAAAAAAAGGGTTTTAGTACTGACGTTCCTATGCATTTTTAATGTGTTAAGGGACATTAATAGTTATTAGCCTAGTTAGACTAAACATTGGCCAAGGTTCAGATGCAAGACCGAGGAGGTGAGAGTCTTGCTGCCACTGCGATTAGTGGCCTTAGACTAGACACAAGTTCAGTGATTGATTCTCTTTCAAGACAGAATCCTTTTACTGTTTAGTTGCTAAAATAAATTAAGTAATACTTAGAGTTTTACAAGTGATAAATGGATCATCTTAATTTTGCCACCCTATTTTTAGTCGACCAGATTCAGCCTTTAGCGTAACTCTTATATTCTGTTGTTATACAAATCAGTCCATTCTTCTGCGTTCGTTCCTACTGTGGTTTTTGCCTGTGACCTTTTTCCTTACTTCTTTTTCCTCTGGTGTGATCTCTTTTTGCCCTAACCAATGCTAAGCACTGCAACGTAAAAATCATTTTACAGAAATCTGAAAGCATTACTACAGACCCTTCTAGGATTGTTTGTGATATCTTCTGCTTGTTCTTTAGCTTCAGAATAGTCTTTTATCCTGCGTTTATACAGAACTTAGCATAATGAAAGTCTTGGTTGAGAATTTGAGCTCCTAGGTGCTGCTAAATGTTAATAGTAGTAGCCTGTGAATGATAATTGGATGCCATTGAAGTAAGCCACTTATTTCTTTGGGCAGTTAGGTCAAAGTATAAGAGAACAATAGCATCGGTAATTTCATATTTAAGGTATTTACAGAAAAAGTCCATACTTGGGTTGGATTTGAGATGCCTTGTGACTGAAAGTTCCAGTACTCTTGTAGTAAATTATAGTGCATCTGTCGGGGTTTATTTTAGTTCATTGCAGATACTTTCTTCTCATACGTGTAGTGAGTAGAATACTTAAAGTATTGGTCAAGACATTCAGTGCCTTTGCAATCTAAACCTTACTTTTAAAGCATGTAAAATTTGTTCGGATGTATTGAGTTCCTGGAAAATGTAAAAAAGATTATTTTTATTGTGGTTTAATGATGATTTGGTTGGATTTTTAGTGTTGCAGCATGTGTTTGCTTGCTTGTGTGAAGTTACCAAGTCAGTATCTTATGTTCTCTCTATAAGCCCTGTAAAGCTATACGTTCTAAGGACGTTGACTACATGTATGTTGAGCTCCTTCAGCGTTGTAAGCAAATGTATCTCACAGAGGCAGAGACAGTAGATGACCATATATATCAGCTACCAAGTTTCCTCCAGTCCATTGCAAGTGTCATATTCCATCTAGATACAGTAAGTGGAGTACTTAAAAGTCAAATCTTTTTATGCATCTAGGGTGTATAAGAATGCAGTAACTGTGAACTTCTCTGTGCTAGAAGACACTTCTTTGTCTGTAGTGTAATGACTTTATGTTCCTAGAGGGTGGGAGAATATGAAAAGAATACTTTGCTAGATTTCATTTGAATAAAGAAAATGCACAAAATTTACTGAATAAAATGCTACAGAGCATTGTAATAAAAATCATGCTAACCAAATGCAAACAGGGTTTTTATTTGTTTTAGAAAAAGCTATTGCTTAAACATAGCCCTACCCTTCTTTTTGTGTGATGTATGTTCAAGGGATCTGTTACTTCACTATATCAAAGACCTCGGATAGTTCTTTTTAAAAGGCTTTGGGGTTTTGGGGGGGGGGGTATGTGCTCCCCTTTACTAGAGCTGTGTATGTAATCAGTTTCATCTCTATCTTTGTGTATACAAGTCTTTCTTGTTATGCGAAAAGCTCGCAGAAACAATGGAAGTGGGGGAAGTCGAAGCACTACCCCACCCTGTTACTGCTTTTTCTTTCAGGACTGATACTTAGCCTGTTTTCTGAGGCCTATACTTTGATTTTCCTCAGAAGATGTATTGTATGTGTTCTAATGAGGGCTTTGTGGATCCTGGTTGGAGCTGGGAAGCAAGCTTGGGGTGGAGAAGAGACTTTCACTTACATTCTGTGTTCAGGTCTTTAAGGATGAGTGGATTAGATGGCTGTGTTATTATTAATCAAATTGGCACTTTTCTAACTGGTTCGGCTGAAGCTCTAATCTACTCAGGAGCTGCCTTTCAAAATGTGGTCCAGGAAACAGTCTCTTTTTCTTGATATCTAAGATGTATTCACTTGCCGTGTCTTTTATTGTTCTCAGAGTAGATCATAATGTAAACTCTTCTTACAAAGCTTCTGGATGAAAACATTTTGCATAATTTTGCTTGTTAGTAGGCATAAACCATTGTCTTCGCATGACGTGTATTTTTGCTTTTATTTCTTCTAGATTCCTGAAGTGTACACTCCAGTTCTCGAACGTCTTGTTGTGGTACAGATTGATACCTTTCCACAATACAGTGAAAAAATGCAGTCAGTCTGTTGCAGATCAATAGTAAAGGTATTCCTAGCCCTGACAGGAAAAGGACCAATTCTCTGGAGTTTTATTAGCACTGTAGGTGAGTCTGTTGACTTTGTTTATTTTTCTGAGCTGCTAACTGCTTCTAAGAGAGGCGTGTGGAACAGCCATTTGGGGATAAAAATGAAGCTTTTTCCGTCCTTCAGCTGTAGAGGTTTAGGGTTCTCATTGTGTTATTTTTCAACATCCATTGCTAGTTCACTTAGGGAATGCGTTTAAAACTGCTTTGAATGACAGAGGAGATATGGTTAAGGGCAGGAGAATATGTTTTTTTGGTAATCTGATGTGATTTACAAGCAAGACTCCTGCCTAAAAGGATTGTGGAGAGAAAGGGCTTTTGCAGGAAAACGTGCAGAAATCCGTTCCCTACTCTTTTCTTACTCCTACAGAAAGCCATAGGAACTTGGGGTAGTGTCTTCTCTACCAGAAATACAACCTGTTTATTTTCTGGAACTTAAACAGGGTAAAAGTAAAGATTCCGAATGTGCACAAATACTCAGATTTAGTCCTTCGAATCTAATAATGAATGTGGCAGTATTGATAGCTGGCAGTTCCAGGAGCTTCCAGGGTGCTGGCATTTAATTACAATGAAATTCCAAAATGACTGAATTTTTTCCAGTTATTTACAATGGCTTTTCTCTGCTGCTGTGGTATTTTCGTTGTCTTCCTTGTTTGTGGTTGGGGATGTGGTATGCTCCCAAAGTACTATGTTGGAATGGGGGTCCTAAATCCATGTCTGTGAGAGTCATAGTTAGTTCTTGCCTTTTCTAATATAGGCACTAGGACAATGTGTTGACCATCACTGCATTCAGGAAAAAGTTTCAGCAATATTGACAAAATGTATTAAGAGGCAAGTTCAAAATAATTGACGTGTGAAACATCATAGAGCATTGGCTCTGCTTTTGGTTATGTTTGTCATTTAACAAAGTTTTCCATTCTTTTACCTCTCCCTCATCCTGACAGAATATAGGAAATGGAAGACTGATTTAATTAATTACCGAGGTATAAGTCGTATGGGAGGCTGTGTCTTTTTAAGTCTGTTGAGGCATTTTTTTTTTTTTCTTTCAGTGCATCAGGGATTAATCAGAATCTTCTCCAAGCCAATCACATTTTCAAAGGTAAAATAACTGTTTAAACGTACTTGTTTATTCTAGATTCCTGAAGTGTTCACTTCAGTTCTTGACCATCTGGTCAAGTAAACAGGGAAAGGCCCAAAGAGCCAAAAATAGTCCTTTGAGAATCACGGCCCAGTTATTAATCTCTTGTCCCTGCTCTCTTGTCAGAATAATGAGGATATTCCTCTTATAAGGAAAATAACAGGATATATACCTTTGCTCTCTGTAGTTCTTCCTTGCTCAGGTTGTCTGTAACAAAGTAGGTTGTGTCTGTGGTCATACAGCTTTCTTCTGCGTTAATGGGTTTTGCAAACTTTAAAAGGAAGGGAAAAGTTTTACTGAATGTCGGTGTTAAGGCGGGGGGTTTAAAGGTTTTTAATCCTGTGCAGCAGGCTAACTGTAGAGACTCTGCAATAACTGACTGCTGGGAGGAGGAGAACTTTAGAGGCTTCTGAAAGGAGCTGTTTGTTTTGTGTTCTTTTCAGCTTGAAATTGAAAAGCTAGGCATTTCAGGTTTCTACCTACACCAGTAGTTTTACATGTTGTGGCTTGAAACAGCTCGTTACATATACAGCATTTCTGAAAAATACTGTATCCTTTTAGGAATATTTTGGAAAAAAAACTTCTGGATCAGAAGAGTCCCCAGCAGCTGGAGAGGCTGGAGCAGGGAAATGGAAAGTACCAACGTATAAGGACTATCTGTATCTCTTTAGAAGTCTACTGAACTGCGACACAATGAAGGTAAAAGCAGAGTTAAGATGGAAATAGAAGAGGAAAGGCACTGTAATCCTGACTACATCTTATCACTGCTTTTCTAACCCTAGATTTTTTTCCAGAGGGACAGCCTGTCATGCTGTAAAACTGTCTAATGCTTTTAGTTGGATAGTATGGCAATTAAATTAAACAAACCAGGATGAATTTAGGTTTCTATAGCTGAGAAACCTCTAAAGCCTGATTCTCCAAGTCACTCAAAACATACATTGTAAATTCAAGAACCGGTTCTCATTTTTCACTGTTTTGAAACGTGAACTTTTCTCCCTCCTGCAAAGGAATCTGTTTTGGAAGATGAAAACTTTCTTGCTGCAAATTCAGCACTGAAGTCCCTCAGTCGTTTGTTATATGATGAACTTTTAAAATCTGTTTTGAAGATTATTGAGAAATTGGACCTGACTGTTCAGAAGCTGAATGTTAATGAACAGGTGAGACCTGATCACTTGTCTGTTCATTTTTTGCTACCGCAGGGGAACCAAAATCCCATTGCTTGCTTTGATTTTTGATTTTGTTATGTTTGTATAGCTCCTCATAGTGTCCGTGAATTAAAATTATGATCGGTGAAAATGCTTTACTTCATGTTTCTGGATGTTGCATTGCAGGTAGGAGGTGGAAACAGAAGACATGTACGGAATCTGTTTTTTTAGATTCCCTTCTCTGGCATCTAGAGTGGCTTTAGTCTTGATTATCACTTTTTCTTCTTGTAAGCAAGCATCCCTTATTATTTCTCAGACTTGTTGATGTGTGAATTATTCCAGTCATCTGCCTGTATCAGGCTAGCGGCCAGAAAAAGAAGAGCAAGTTGCTAATCCTATTTTTTGTTTGGATAAAGGTGTAAATGCTTTCTGTGTTGCCATAGATCCAGTATTCTTGCTTCAATATTTATTTTCAGGATGAAGATGAGACTGACAGTGCTTTGGTTGTGCCTACTTCTGACCCTGCTTCAAACCTTCAGCCAGCAAAGCCTACAGACTTTATTGCTTTTATTAATCTAGTGGAATTCTGCAGGTACTAATACATTTTTGTATGTAATTTTGAAGTTATGAAGTGATTGGAAGAAATTTAAAGTATGACTTTTTAAGATGCCTGTTTCTGACTTGTGACCACATATGGCATTTTAAATACATATGGCCTATTGGCTGGAAGACAGTAAAAGTTTTTCAGACCTCTAGATCATGAGTGAGAACATACTAGCTCATCAGCTACGTTTTTTGTCAAAGAGATTTTTTTTTTAAAGGAGACAAGTCATTCATGTGCATTATTTGATTGTAACCATCTTTTAGTACCCACTGCAAGTTCTGTTATTATACTGCCCGTATATTCCAAATACTTCAGAGACCAGAAATACAGTCTTCATAAAGTAGCATTTGGGCATTAAGTGAAAGGTACAGCATTATTTGTCTGTGACTGCGCAGCTGGTTTTCCATAGCAATGGTTTCCATAGCTGGTTTCCATAGCAATGTTGCAGTCTGTGGAAGTAATGCAATGTGGTATGTGAGCGTGTGTCCGTATGTGTGTGTGCGTCTAAAGTTAGTAACGAGGTGTAATGAGGAAGAAATGGCTTTGCACTGTAAAGCAATATAAAAATCTTCCTACGCTTATCTCACAAGTCATATTATTATCCCCTCAGTATCTTTGGAGATACTCTGTTATAGCAGTGCTTGTCTTTTGTGTACTGACTTGAAATTTGAGAAAAATGATACAAATGTTTTAGGTCACTTTTTTTTTTTAACTGAATGTTTTCTGTTCTATAGAGAGATACTTCCGGAGAAGCATGTTGAATACTTTAACCCTTGGGTTTATTCCTTTGGCTATGAGCTTATTATACATTCAACGAGACTACCTCTTATTAGTGGATTCTACAAACTGCTTTCTGTTGCAATGAAGATTGCAAAGAAAATAAAGTACTTTGAGGTGAGATCTCTTTTCTCAGAGAAGGGTTAATGTTGTGCTAATGATGGTGCACATCTTTTATACAAGCCTTTTACGCATGTATGCGTAATGGAAAATATTTATTGAAACTGCACCCAGTTTGTTTCAAATGTTTATAATATCTATGCCTGTGTAGTTAAAAAAAACACATGGAATGTCAAAATTAGAGCGGAAGCTCAGTTTCTCAAGAGATACCCTCCGTGTGTGACGCTCTTTCCCAAATCCTGAGCTGGAGATGTGTTTGCAGAGCAGACTATAGAGAAGATGTAGCTTGGATACCAGAAACAGTTTAGTCAGAACAGCAAAGATATCTGTGTGGGTTAGCTGGTCAACTTTTCAAGTATACTTGTACTATCCCACTCATTGATTTCCACGGGAAATATGGTGCTCTAGTGATAGATGCACCATTTGTGGTATGGAAGCTATCGTACAGTGAAAGTGCTTCATCACACATAGTGTGTAACCCAAGAGAGAGCTGGGAACTGCTCTTGGCACTGCTGGCAATGCTACCAAGTGAACCAAATGTGGGAATTTATCGGCATGGATGCTTGCATAGATGTTCTTTAGGAGGTGATTTGCTGTGAATTGCTGTTTTCTCATTCCATCTACATTCTGGCCATGTGTCCATCCCATATTAGAGATTTGCTTTTTTTTTTTTTTTGTGGCTTGTTGCATTAAGGGGCAAGGAGGAAGTCTAACCAGTTCAAAGAACTTTTTCGTTCCTGTGCATCTCAGTTACTTCAGGTAATATTAAATGTCTGTATGCCAAAAAGCTGAATCTCAATACACGGTACTAGTGCTAATAAATAGTCTTTGAGAGAACAAATGTGCGTTTTAAGCTTTCATTGATGCAGATTTTATATTAGGACAGTAACATTTATGTTCTGAGTTAAACCTATGCTTCGTATTTGTATACTGTGTATTATTCAGGATAGTTTTTCTAGTAGTACTGACTTGTGGTTTCTGCTTGGTAGGGTGTCAGTCCAAAGAGTCTCAGAAAATGTCCTGAAGACCCAGAAAAAAGTTCTTGCTTTGCCCTGTTTTTAAAGTTTGGAAAAGAGGTGAGTTATTCTGATGGCTATCAATAAGCATAAATGACTCAATCAAAATTACATAATATTGTCTTCTTAGAATCCTTACGCATATGATAGCCATGTTCCAGCTGTTTGAGTTACACAACATAGTAGGATTTTGAGATTTTTTTTGTCTGTTTTTAACTCGATGTCAGTAGAAGCATGTGGGTCACTAACGGATGTAAAATTGAGCAGTAACTTGTGCGTTATACACTTCCTGATAACTGTCTCTAGCTGAATTAAATTTCAGTATTGTTTTTGAATTGCATATTTTACATGCATATTGATATGCAAGTAAAATAGCTGATATCGAGGATTTGTAAGGTTTATGATTTTTCTTGACCTATGTTTCTGAATTTTAGGTTACAGCGAAAATGAAACAGTATAAAGATGAGTTGTTGGCATCCTGTCTGAGTTTTTTGCTCTCTTTACCACCTGACATCATAATGCTTGATATCAAAGCATATATTCCTGCACTGCAGGTAGGTCAAAATGATACACAGCTAACACTGTTTTTCTTTCCCAAAACATGTTCAAAAATTCTGGAACAAAATTAGCATCCTGTCAAGTGAGTAAGATAATCATTAAACTTTGCATTGTTTTGAGTGAAGTAGACTTTTTGGATAAGAGAGTAAGTCACCAGTGTTTGCAGTTGAACTTGATTGACTCTGTTAGTGCCAATGTTGCAATGTAATAAATATCTCCTGTGTAGATTTTGTGAGTGAGGTGTTAAGTAGACAAAAGTGATTAAGAAGGAAGATGTATTGTATGCCCAATGCTTGCAAATATGTTTTTCCTTTTAAATCATAGTAGTTATTAAAAAAGGAAAAACTAACAGTTTTACATTTGACATGTAGAACGCATTTAAGCTGGGCCTTAGCTGCATCCCAATGGCTGATCTGGGATTGGATGCTTTGGAAGACTGGTCAGCTCACATTCCCAAACACATAATGCAACCTTACTACAAGGATGTTCTACCTCTCCTTGATGGTTATTTGAAAAACTCCGCATCCACAGGTATGTACAGGAAAAAAATGTTTAGTCCTGAGGGAAA